CGATGCGGGGAGGAGGAAACGGGCAGAGATCCCGAGACGGGCCTGGAAGACGGAGAGTTCTTCGGAAGACCCGGGAATCCCCCGAGTATCCCCAGGAGGGAGGAAAGAAATATCAGTGCCCGGAATGTGAAAAGTCCTTCAAGACAAATGGATATTTTCAAAAGCATCTAAACATCCACACAGAGAAGAAATTTCAATGCCCGGAATGTCAAAAATCCTTCATAATCAATAGACATTTTGAAAACCATCTAAAAATCCACTCATTTGGCAACCCGCATAAATGCTTTGAGTGTGGAAAGAATTTTAATAACAGAGCAGATCTTAATCAACATGAAAGAATCCACACAGGAGAAAAACCTTATAAATGCTTTGAGTGTGGAAAGAACTTCCGTCACAGGAGCAGCCATGAGAGACATCAAAGGATCCACACGGGAGAGAAACCATTTAAATGCTTTGTGTGTGGAAAGTGCTTTAGTCATAGGTGCAACCTTCATGTACATCAAAGGACCCACACAGGAGAAAAACCACATAAATGCACAGAGTGTGGAAAGAGTTTTCGTCAGAAGAGTTATCTTTATATACATCAGAGGATCCATTCTGGAGAGAAACCGTATAAATGCAAGGAGTGTGGAAAGCGATTCAGTCAGAGGTGCCACCTTGTAATACATCAAAGAGTCCACTTGAGAGAGAAACAGCAAAAACGCCTCGGGAACCCCCAAGGATTCCGTGAAGGAGAAAAACAATATCAATGTACAGAATGTGAAAAATCTTTCAAAAGAAAGGCAGACCTTAAAAGCCATCTAAGGATGCACACTGGAGAGAGACCATTCAAATGCCTGGAGTGTGGAAAGAGCTTCAGTCTGAGTGGAAACTTTTACAAACATCAAAGAATTCACTCAGGAGAAAAACCATACGAATGCCTGCAGTGTGGAAAGAGCTTTACAGAGGGTTCAGCACTCCAATGTCATAAAAAAATCCATACTGGAGAGAAACCGTATAAATGCCACGAATGTGGAAACCACTTCAGTTCAAGAAAAGACCTGTGTAGACATGAAATGATTCACACAGGAGAAAAACCTCATAAATGTCTGGAGTGTGGAAAAGGCTTCAATCGGACAGGGAATCTTTACATACATCAAAGAATCCACTCAGGAGACAAACCTCATAAATGCCTGGACTGTGGCAAGGCTTTCTCTTCAAAGAGAAACCTTGATTCACATCAAAGAATCCACTCAGGAGAAAAACCATATAAATGTCTGCAGTGTGGAAAGAGCTTCAATCAGAGGGGAAACCTTTACATACATCAAAAAATCCACTCAGGAGACAAACCATTTCAATGCCTGGATTGTGGCAAGGGTTTCTCTTCAAAGAAAACCCTTGATTCACATCAAAGAATCCACTCAGGAGACAAACGACACAAATGTCTGGAGTGTGGAAACAGCTTCAGTCGGAGGGGAAGCCTTTACATTCATCAAAGAATCCACTCAGGAGACAAACCATTTCAATGCCTGGATTGTGGCAAGAGTTTCTCTTCAATGAGAAGCCTTGATTCACATCAAAGAATCCATACTGGAGAAAAACGACACAAATGTCTGGAGTGTGGAAACAGCTTCAGTCGGAGGGGAAGCCTTTACATTCATCAAAGAATCCACACTGGAGAGAAACCATATAAATGTCTGGAGTGTGGAAACAGCTTCAGTCGGAGGGGAAGCCTTTACATTCATCAGAGAATCCACACTGGAGAGAAACCATATAAATGTTTAGAGTGTGGAAACAGCTTTAGTAGGAGGGGAAGCCTTTACATTCATCAAAGAACTCACACTGGAGAGAAAACCTAGAATCACCATAAAATTGTGTTTCCCGGAAAATAAGCCCTAGTGGTTATTTTGGGGTCCAAAAGAAAATAAGGCTGGATGTTATTTTGGGTGGAACATGATAAATGCAATCAGGGTGGAAAAGAGCTTTACTAAGGATGCAAATCTCTGTCATCATTAAGGAATCCACACAGGAGAAAAATCACATAAATTCCTGGACTGAGGGAAAAGTTCAGATCAAAGCAGGACCTGTATTCCCATCAAGGAATCGAACATGAGGAAAAACGTTTTATATGCTTTGAGTGTGGAAAGAGCTTTACTGATGATGGACTCCTTCATCGACATGAATGGATTCACATGGGGAGAAATGCTAAATGTGCCTGAGTGTGGAAAGACCTTCAGTCAGATATGTGCCTGAATAATTCAGTTCAATTGGTTCAGTCAAGTGTGATTAGACCTACAAGGAATTTGCTTCCGGTGCTGAAGCTCTCAGTGTACACACAAAACAACAGAGTAATGATAACAGAAAAACAGAACAGTGGATGGGAGCTTGAAGGCCTTCTAGTCCAACCCCCCATTTAAAGCAGTAGACCCCCTATACCATTCAAGAGGCCATTCAACTAGTTAATTGTTTTCACTGCTAGGAAATTACTCCTTAGTTCTAGGTTGCTTCTCTCCATTAGTTTCCATCCATTGTTTTTTGTTGTCTTGTGCTTTGGAAAATAGGTTGACCCCCTTATCTTTGTGGCAGCCCCTCAAATACTGGAACACTACTATCATGTCACCCCTAGATCTTCCTTTCAGAATCACCAGAATAGCATCACAAGCAGAATAGAGAATCACAGCTGGAAGGAACCTTGGAGGTCTAGTCCAGCCCGCTGCTGAAGCAGGAGACTCTATACAATTTGAAACAAGTGGCTGTTCAGTCTATTGTCAAAAACATCTAGTGATGAAGCACCCACAACTTCGGAAGGCAAGCTGTTCCACTGGTTAATTGTCATATATTGGAACAGTGTCAACCAATCACCCCTAGTCCTTCTAGACTAGCCATATCCAGTTCCCGCTACAATTCTTCATATGCTTTAGTCTCCAGGCCCTTAATCCTCCTAGTTGCTCTTTGCACGTTTTCCAAAGTCTCAACAACTTTTCATAATGTGGTGACCAAAATTGAATGTAGTATTCAGATGTAGCTTTACTAAGGTTTTATAAAGTGGTGTTAATACTTTATGTCATGTTGATTCTGTGCCTCTGTTCATGCAGCCAAATATTCCCCCAGCAAGAAAAACCATTGAGAAAAAGCCTAAAACAGAGGAGAAGACTGAGGCAAAGTCTAAGAAAGAAAGTTGATTCACATCAAGTTTAAATGCATGATCCAATTGCCTCAAATTTTAAGCTTCACCGCTAATTTAATGACATATTACCCCTTTTCACTTGGCCATCTACACCTCTTAAGTTTAAGAATACTTGTTTTTCCCTTCCTGACTAAGGCTCTTTATTTGGTATGTGAGAACTTGCTTTTTCAGCGACCACACCACATAGGATTCTGAGTGTCTTTGAATACATCTGCACCTTTCAAGAAAGACACAAACCCAGATGGGAAAAACTAAGACGTAAATTTGTCACGTCTGGCGTTTTATCTGGAATCAATGTTTTCTGCTGTTCAAACATCACAAGCAATCAGTGCATTTTATTGTTTGTTTTTTCAATTTTTATTAGTTTATCACAGCATAAAATACAAAATATAAAGAAAAATACAAGTAAAGGTAAAATACTGGAAGAGGAGAGAACAGTGTAGGGTAGAGGAGAAAGCATTAATGTCCACCACTCCGTTTGATGCAGAATAACACTTCAGCCTTTTACTTTTATATAATACATACCTTCTGTAGCATCAAATCTAATAGGCAAATCCCAAAATCAAAGATTTCTTTGCATCATAAGCACAAAGTCCAAAAGTGGTTTCCAAGTAGAAACAGAATTATGTTTTCTTGAGTAAAAGGTGTATTGTTTGGTTTTAGCATTTCTTTCTCTCCATGTATCTTTTAGATTTAATTCATCAACCATTTTAAAACAGGATTTTGGGAGAGTCTTTCTGTTTTGCTTTGTTGGTGGACTTGTGCGGACGCTAGAAAATACTGGACCAAAATCCACATGTGGTTGGAAAAAATGACAAAAAAACATATAGATTTTAAACCAGAGATATTTTTATTGGGAATTTTACCTGATACATATAGCAAAGACTTGAAATACCTGATTCTAAATGTATTAACAGCAGCTAGGATTGTATTTGCTAAAAATTGGAAAAATGAGAAAACACCATCACAGGAGGAAATCATTAAGAAAATATTGGAATGTGCTGAAATGAGTAGATTGACATTTCAAATTAGAGAACAAGAGGATAAACAATTTTATAAAATTTGGGACCTTTTCTATCAATGGTTAGATAATAAAATACAATAATGAAACGTAGAATTTTAGAAAATAATATATAAAGATGTATTTTTTTTCTTTTTTTAATGATACCTACAAAATGTTTTTAGGATAGATTTGGGAGGATTATATGAATTGTTATAAAATAAACTAAGTAAACTATGGTTATCTCATAAAATGAATGAATAAAATTATTGTCAAATGATTAATAATGATACTAGGGTATTCAATTTTTGATTGATAATATGAGCCATTATGCAATGTAACTAACTGAAGACTACGGAATGGATGCACAAAAAAATTTGTAAACCAACCGGCACACTGCTTGTATATTTACGGAAGAAAGTTTGATGTTTTTATGTTTTGTTTATGTTTGTCTTTAATAATCAGTAAAATTTACACACAAAAAATTATGTTTTCTTTAATTGGTGCATTTAGCTACCTCTGTTAACTTCATCAACTTTTGCAGCCATTTGTCCAATGAGGGAATTTGTTTGATCATTTGCTTACTGATGTGTCACTTGTACTGAATATTATATTTCTTTATACCCTGTGAAAAAAAAACATGACCCCTCCCTTAATCAGCAATTTTTGCTTTGCTTGAATTACTTGATTTGTATTTGTATTTCCAGGCGAGCAAAGAATCCCCTTTACAAAGGTAAAGGTCTCCCAAAACGGAGGTAATTAGTCTCTTCAGCTCCACACCAAACTCGGAGTGCCTGGGGTTACAAGCAACATCCCACATGATTAAAAACTATCAAGCACTAATTAAAAGGAACAAGGAAGGGAGCTGAGTGTTCTCTTAGAGCACATCTTCACCCAGCTCCCCTTTCCTAAGAAGGGAAATTGAGTTGAGGAATTTGCGTTTTCGCTCTTGGAATGCAAATTTTATAAACTGGCTACAAATAGAAGATTTCCCTGAGCGCTTAGACTTATACACCACTTTATAGTGCTTTCCAGCCCTCTTAAGTGGTTTTACAGAACCAGCCCCCAACAATCTGGGTCCTCATTTTACCCACCACAGAAGGCTGGGTCAACTTTGAGCCTGGTGGGATTCAATCTGCCAAATTGTAGGCAAATGTCTGATAGTCAGCAGAAGTAGCCTGCATTACTGCACTCTAACCACTGGGCCACCGAGGCTCTTCATTCTCATAGCTGGCAGTAACTGCATGGATGAGGCCACCCCATTTTGCCCTCCTCCTGTTCCCATGTCCACTCCCTCTATTCCTTCAGTCAGAGGGGAAGCCTTTGTAAACATCAAAGGATCTACTGGAGAGAGAAACTGAATAAATGCCTGGAGGGTGGAGGATCCTTCAAAAGACGTGGGAATCCCCAAAGGATCTAGGAGGAAGGAAAGATACTTCAGTGCCCAGAATGTGAAAAATCCTTCAAAAAGAAACTGAAATCTGGAAAGCCATCTAAGGATCCATTCAGGAGGGAAGCCATAGGAAAGTCCAGGATGTGAAAAATCCTTCGAAACAAGACATTTTGAAAACCACCTAAAAAATCACTCAGTTGGAAACCCATATGAATATTTTGAGTGTGGAAAGAACTTCAATCAGAGAGGAGATCTTGATCAACATCAGAGAATCCACACAGGAGAAAAACCTTATAAATGCTTTGAATGTGGAAAGAGCTTCAGTCATAGGAACAGCCTTTATGTACATCTAAGAATCCACTCAGGAGAGAAACTATAATGCCTGGAGTGTGGAAAGTGATTTACTGATGGCGGAAACCTTTATAAGCATCAAAGTATTCACACGGGAGAACAACGCTATAAATGCCTCAAGTGTGGAAAGAGTTTTACTATACCTGGACGCCTTTATGACCATCAAAGGATTCACACTGGAGAGAAACCCTATACATGCATGGAATGTGAAAGCAGCTTCCTTAGTAAAACAGCCCTGTATAGTCATCAAAGGATGCACACGGGAAAAACCATATAAACGCCTGCATTGCGGAAAGAGCTTCAGTCAGACAAGACACATCAAAGAGTCCACATAGGAGAGAAACACCTGGAGTGTGGAAAGAGCTTAAGTGAGAGAACAGACACAAGATACTTGCTGAGGTGGGTTCAAAGGCCGCCATTTCCCCTCCATGGAGACCTTGGGGTGAGGCTGCTCCCAAGGGAAGACCCAGCAGCCAAGGAGGAAACTTCCTGCAGTGTCACGATGCAGACTGTAGCCTCTTGTCGTCGCTTCCTTAATGCCCCGTGCAAGAATATAAATCTCACATGATTTTGGCTGTCTTCACCTCGCCCCTTTGTCCCCCTGGAGATACACGAAACTCACCGTATCCGAAGGAGGGGAATGGAATTCACGATTTCAAGTGTGGGGAATGTATGTATGCATTGGATTTATACAAGCAGAAGCTTCAACAAGAGCAGAAAAAGAGCCCCCCAAGGTGTCCGGGATCCCATCCGGCCCCCCTGGAGACGCTCCCTCCTCTCCCCGGTCGGGGTTGTTTGTCCCAAAGGCGCTTTTCTTTCAAGGGGCAGCTGGACTTTTTGGGAGGCGTCTCGCTCCTCATCCCAGAAGCTTCCTCACTTCCGACTGGAGGTGTCAGAGGCCGAGGGGCCCACATATCGAGAAGGGGGGGGGGGGGGGTCCTGGCGCGATTCCCCCGTCAGATTTGCAAAGGGGTCCTGGGGGGAGCTCGCTGCTTGGAGGCCACGGAGGAGCCTGGCCGGAGCCCCCCAGGAGGAAGCGGAGCCCCTTCAGCTCCGCCTGCCTGGATGCCCCCCCCCCGCCTTGCCTAGGGGGACCCCGGAGAGGAGGGAGGGGGAAAGCCGCAGCCCCAGAAGGGCCCCTCGAGCTCCGCCAGACCGGATGCGGAAGAGGGGAGAAGACCGGACCCCCAAAATCAAAGGGAGCCCCCCGCCTCAACTCCGCGCGGGACCAGGGGAGACCCTCGGCACAGCGCAGGCGCGCTCTGGCTCACTGCAGGAAGTCGGCCGCCGATTGGCCGCTCTGGGGAGGGCGGCGATTGGCAGGAGGACCCCTTGGGGCGGGTCCCTACACGCTAAAGTGGAGGAGAAAAGTTCCGGAAACAAAAGGGGAACGAGCGAGCTTCCCAAATCGGCGATAGAAGAGCCCGGATGTAGGTAGGAGGAAGAGGCGGAGCTTGGCCGGAAAAGGAGGAAGGCCGCTCTGGCCCTTACTTTCGGAATCAGGCGAACTTACGCCCACGGTCGAGTGCAGGTAGGGCGCAGGGGATGCTGGGAGTCTCAGTCTGGGTGGGTCTCTTTCGGGTCCGCAGGAAGTAAAGGCTTCAGCCTGGGGAAGGGAACGTCGCTGTGACCCGCCTCTCTTTCTTCCCCTCAGGAGGACGGAGGAGCCCGGCGGGGGAAGGAAGGAGGCACCGCCCGAGAGGAGGAGGAGAGCGGGCCCGCGGAGCAGCCCTGCCCGGTCCCGGCGCAGCTTCCCCGGGAGACGGCGGGGAAAGGCCGGAAGGCTCCGGGGCTGATGAGCCCAGGGGAACCCCGGGAAAGTGGACTGCCCAAAGGGCGATGCGCGAAGAAGGAAACGGGAGGAGGGTCCTTCGGAATCCCCAGAGGATTCAGGAGGGAGAAGAGGAATATCAATGCCCGGAATGTGAAGAATCCTTCAAAAGAATTGACTATCTTGAAACCCATATAAGGACCCACTCGGGAGAGAAACCTTATACGTGCCCAGAGTGTGGAAAGAGCTTCAGTCAGAGGGGAAACCTTTCTAGACATCAAAGGATCCATTTGGGAGAGAAACGTTATAAATGCTGGGAGGATGGAGAGTCCTTCGGAAGATCCGGCAATCCCCAAAGGATCCAGGAGGAAAGAAAGAGATATCAGTGCCCAGAATGTGAAAAATCTTTCAACAGAAACAACAATCTTCAAAGGCATCTAAGAATCCACTCATTGGGAAAGCCATTTCAATGCTTTGAGTGTGGAAAGAATTTCAATCTGACAAGAGAGTTTATGGAACATCAAAGGATCCACACAGGAGAAAAACCTCATAAATGCCTGGAGTGTGGAAAGAGCTTCAGATATAGCAGCAGCCTTTATACACATCAAACAATCCACACAGGAGAAAAACCACACAAATGCTTGGAATGTGGAAAGAGCTTCAGTCAGAGGAGCAGCCTTTATACACATCAAAGAATCCACACAGGAGAAAAACCTCATAAATGTCTGCAGTGTGGAAAGAGCTTCAGTCAGACCAGCAGCCTTTACAGACATCAAAGGATCCACTCTGCAGAGAAACTGAATAAAAGTCTGGAGGGCAGAGGGTCCTTCAAAAAACCTGGGAATCCCCAGAGGATCCAGGAGGGAGGAAAGAAATATCAGTGCCCGGAATGCGAAAAATTCTTCAGAACAAATAATGTACTTGAAGACCATCTAAGAATCCATGCAGAAGAGACATCACATAAATGCTTGGATTGTGGAAAGAGCTTCAGGCAAAGTGAACATCTTTATAGACATCAAAGGATCCATTGCAGAGAGAAGCCATACAAATGCCTAAAGTGTGGAAAGAGCTTCAACATGGAGGAAAACCTTTATAGACATGGAAGTATTCATACTGGAGAGAAACTGAATAAGTTCCTCAAGGATGGAGAGTCCTTTGGAAGACCTGGGAGTCCTCAAAGGGTCCACAAGAGAGGAAGGAAGCACAAATGCCCAAAATGTGAAAAATCCTTCAAAAAATATGGAGATCTTCAAAGGCATATAACAGTCCACACAGGAGTAAGGAAATATCAGTGCCCCGAATGTGAAAAATCTTTCAAAAGAAGTGACCATCTTCAAAGCCATCTAAGGATCCACACGGGAGAGAAACTGAATAAATGTCTGGAGTGTGGAATGAGCTTCAGTCATAGGAGCAGCCTTTATAGACATCAAAGGATCCATTTAGAGGAGAAACCAAATAAATGCCTGGAGGGCAGCAAGACCATCGGAAGACTCTGGAATCCCCAAAGGATCCAAGAGGGGGAAAAGAAATATCAATGCCCAGAATGTGAAAAATCCTTCAAAACAAATAAAGAACTGCAAAGGCATATAACAGTCCACACAGGAGAAAGGAAATATCAATGCTGGGAATGTAAAAAATCCTTCAAAAGAAGTGACCATCTTCAAAGCCATCTAACAATCCACACAAGACAAAGGAGATATCAATGCCCAGAATGTGAAGAATCCTTCAACAGAAATGAAGATCTTGAAAGGCACCTAAGAATCCACACAGATGGAAACCTACATAAATGCCTGGAATGTGGAAAGAGCTTCAATTGTAAAAGCAACCTTTATACACACCAAAGAATCCACACAGGAGAGAAACCATATAAATGCCTGGAGTGTGGAAAGAACTTCACTCAGGCGGGCAACCTTTATGTACATCAAAGACTCCATTTACAGAAACCATACCAATGTGGGAAATGTGAAAAATGCTTCAAAAATATTCAAATCCTTGAAAAACATCTAAGAATCCATAAGCCATGTATACACATTGAATGATTCACACTGGAGAAAAACCGAATCAATGCCTGGAGTGTGGAAAGAGCTTCAGTTGGAGAAGTGCATCAAAGAATCCATTGAGAATAAAAAAAATGTTTTTTTTTTTTAATTTTTATTGTTTTTAAGACAAACCTAGACAAACACAACATAAAAACATCGAACCATCTTCCCTATATGTAGAGTTGTAATTGCAGGAATGTTCCAATCTTGGATGGCAAACCTCAGAAAAAGAATGTTTCCAAGCAAATACAACTCAGGTAAACGAAGTCACTAATCTAAAGGAGGATTAGAGAGAGGAAGTAAACATATGTTAGACTTTAACTAGAGACAATTAATTGTATGGATTACTGTGCTAAACAGTAACAAAAGTTAAGCAGTAACCAAAGTTAACTAGTGATGGAGGATAACTAAAAATGTGTATAAATGCAAGACTAGACTCCAATAAAGATCATCATGATTCAGTTGTTCATGATCAAACAACTCTACTGCCTCTTCATTACAAGTGGCACATGAACAGGGACCCTCTTACTTCGTCCGGCAAAGATTTGGTGCACCTTCAACCCTTTGTGGTTTCTTCAACCTTTTGGTTTCTGTAAGTATGGGGTCTTCACTTTCTGAGGAAGAAAGGAAGCATGTAGATCAATTGGGCTATTTGTTGAAGAAAAATAATACCGAGGTACCACAGAGAAATCTCTGAAGGCTGGTCCAGGAGTTTGCAGCTCAGTGCCTATGGTACCCAGAAAAGGGGTTTTTAAAATTAACTGATTGGGAATGTATAGAGAAAACATTGCATACTGAACTTCGAGCAAAAATAGAAGTTTTGCATGTGTGGCACTTATGTAGGCATGCAATTGAAAAATTTGGTCTCTCTTTTAACACCACCTTCACGTTATACTAATGCTGTCATTTGTTCCCCTTCTTCACCTGAATATATGTCTTCAATTCCCTCAGCTCCTGCAGATACAGGGCAAAAGCCTCCTGACTCAGTCTTCTTTTCAGAAAATGGTAGAGACTTGTAAAAGGGATACCTCTGTCTCAGGAACAGAACTTGCAGAATTACTGTCTGTTTGTCCAGTACAATATCGTCCTGGTCAGGGGCCACAGCTTGGACTGCAAGTAGCAGAATGGGAGTGTCTGCCTTATCAGATCTTAAGAGAGTTAAAAAAGGCAGTTACAGACTATGGGATTAGTGGTAATTTTACAAGAGGACTTGTAGAAGGAATAAAAAATGGCTATCCTTGAAGATTGGAAGCAAATATTTCGCATGGAGCAGGAGGCGGCCTTGGGGACGCCTGGCTGGCTGCGGGAGCGTTAGGGCAGTTTTAGAACTGCAGTGCTGCCATGCAGCTGCAGTGAAAGTATGATAGTTTTCAAAACTACAGAAAGCTCTCAAGCCACTGGGAAACACTATGGGGAGATCTATAAGCCTAAATTGCTATTTTAGTGACACCATATCCATTTCTACGGATATTTATACGATTATATGAAAACAACCAGTGGAACAGCTTGCCTTCCAAAAATTGTAGGTGGTCTATCATTGGAGGTTTTTACGAATATACTGGACAGCCACTTGTTTCAATTTGCAGTGTCTCCTGCTTAAGCAGGGGGTTGGACTAGAAGACCTCCAAGGTCCTTTCCAGCCTTGATTCTATCCTGATAGTGGAAAAAAAAGGAGTAGAGTTGACATAGTAGCACTGTTCCAATATCTGAGAGGTTGCCACAAAGAAGAGGGAGGGGTCAGCCTATTTTCCAAAGCACCAGAAGGGAAGAAAGAAATGATGGATGGGAAATATTCAAGGAGAGAAGCAACCTGGAATTAAGGAGAAATTTCCTGACAGTGAGAAAAATTAACCAGCGCATTGCCTAGAGAACTTGTACTCTTATCACTGAAATCTTAGACATTGGTAGGAAATGTATACGGTTTCCTCCCTGAGAAAGGGAGCGGACTAAAAGGCATCCAAGATCCCTTCCAACTCTTATCATTCTTGTGTTGCTTGTCAGGCTACGGAACTTTTCCCATTCAATCCACAAGAATGAACTTCTGAAAACCAAACGTATCAAAAGGAATCCTTTATTGAAATGAGACAATTCATGTAGGGATTAAAAGCAGCTGCTAACGTGTCTCAGGCAGGCAGGGATAGATAAGGGAGTTTAGAACCCCTCCCCTTGTCTCGATGTGTATTTAGAGAAACAAAGAACCAACATGTTTATCCCCCCTCCCGCTCTTCTGAGAACGATCTTTTTTGAGGTTTCCAGGAGGCATCTCCCAGCAGGAATTTTTATGGTCTCTTCATCCTGTGGCTGTCTCTTTTCAAAGGTGACAGGTTTCCGGGCATCTGGTCTCTGTCCCTCCATAGTATATCATGGGTTATCCAAATTCAATACGAGATTTAATATATCCAGGTTACATCAAAAAGGATTTCTTATACCAACTTCCGCCACTACTACTTCCATGAAGAATGGCAGACACACGGATCTGACAGCTTTGCATGTACATGGAGAGCTTCTGCACCAGAGACAATTTCCTTGTGTCTAACCACATTTGGCTAAACAAATTATTCAATTGAATTCAATTGCTCAGACATACATAGTAACTGAACTCTTTCCATGCTCAGCCACATTTATACTTTTCTCCCCCCATGTGTTAATGATGTTAATGAAGGTCTCCATTCTCGGTAAACCTGTTTCCACACTCAAGGCATGTATATGGTTTTTCTCTTCTGTGGATTTTTTATGTGAATAAGTTTCTTTTTGAAGACAAACTCTTTCCACACTCAAGGCACTTATGTGATTTGTCTTCCGAGTGTATTCTTTGATGTATGTAAGGGTTTCCTATCTGATTGAAGCTCTTTCCACCCTCGACATTTATGTGGTTTTCCTCCAGTCTATACGAGGCTCTTCCACTAAGCCTTTTCCACATTCCAGGAATTTATTTATCTCATGTGTGAATCATTTGATGTCCATACAGAGTTCCTCTCCTACTGAAACTCCACATTCGAGGCAGTTATTGGGTTTCTCTCCTGTGTGAATTCTTTGATGTTGATGGGAGGTTTGGACCCTGAGGAAAGCACATTGCACACTTGAGGTCTTTGTAGGGATTTTCTCCTGTAGGGTTTTATACATGCCTTGTGGATTCTTCTTTCAAGGATTTGGATAGTTTGAAGCTTTCTTCACATTCCCAGCATTCATACTGTTTTTGTAAATGGATTCTTTGATGTTTATAAAGGCTGCTGTTATGACTGAAGCTCTTTCCACACTCCAGGCATTTATGCGGTTTTTCTCGTGTGTGGATTCTTTGATGTGTATAAAGGTTGCTCGTCTGACTGAAGCTCTTTCCACACTCCAGGCATTTATAGGGTTTCTCTCCCGTGTGGATTCTTTGATGTTGACGGAGATGTCCACCCTCAATAAAGCTCCTTCCACAATCTAGGCACTTATACGGATTCTCTCCTGAGTGGATTCTGAGATATTTATAATAGTTTCTTCTGTGATTGAATGTCTTTCCATACACCAGGAATTTATCTTGTTGCTCTAATGAATGGATTATTTGATGCCTATTAAGGCTTCTCTTCTGCCTCAAGCTCTTTCCACATTCCAAGCATTTATATGGTTTTTCCCCTGAATGGATTCTTTCATGTGTATAAAGATTTTCCCTCCTATTGAAGCTCTTTCCACACTCCAGGCATTTATATGGTTTTTCTCCAGTGTGGATTCTTTGATGTTTATAAAGGTTTCCCCTCCTATTGAAACTCTTACCACATTCCAGACATTTATAAGGTTTCTCTCCTGAGTGAATCATTTGATGTTGATTGAGGTGTCCAACAATAACAAAGCTCTTTCCACATTCCAGACATTTATATGGTTTCTCTCCTGAGTGGATTCTTAGATGGTTTACAAGATGTCCATTTCTTTGGAAAGATTTTTCACATTCTGGGCATTCAAATTTCTTTTCTCGCAAGTGGATCCTTAAATGCCTTTGAAAATGTCCATTTTTTTGGAAGAATTTTTCACATTCCAGGCATTGATACTTCTTTTCTCCCACCTGGATCCTTCGGGGATTCCTGGGTCTTCCAAGGGACCCTCCACCCTCCAGGAATTTATTTGGTTTTTCTCTCCAGTGGATCTTTTGATGTCTATAAAAGTTTCCCAAATGCCTGAAGCTCTTTCCACACTCCAGGCATTTATGAAGTTTCTCTCCTGAGTGGATTTTTAGATGGCTTTGCAAAAGGTTATTTGTTCTGAAGGATTTTTCACATTCCAGGCATTCATATTTCTTCTCTCCTGTGTGGATGCTTAGATGCTTTTTAAGATGTCCATTTTTTACGAAGGATTTTTCGCATTCTGGGCACTGAAATTTCTTTCCTCCCTCCTGGGTCCTTCGGGGATTCCCCAATCTTCTGAACGACCCTCCACCCTCCAGGCCTGTCTTGGGGTCTCCGTCCATCCCTCCTGCAGCCCCACGGCCTCCCGGCCTTTCCCTGCCATCTCCCTGGGGAGCTGTGGCCGGACCAAACAGGCCTGCTCTGCGGGGCCCGCTCTCCTCCTCCTGGGCAGCTCCTCTGTCCTCCTAAAGGGGAGAAAGAGAGGCAGGTCACTGCTATGTCCCTTTCCCCACAGGGGAATATAATAGAAAATTAGAATAGAAGAGAGAATAGAAGAGTTGGAAGGACCTTGGAGGTCATCTAGTCCAACCTCCCGCTCAAGCGGGAGACCCTACACCATTTCTGACAGGTGGCAGTCCAGTCTCTTCTTGAAAGTCTCCAGGGATGAAGCTCCCACAACTTCCAAAGGCAACTTCTGTTCCATGGGTTGATTGCTCTCAGGGTCAGGAAATTCCCCCTTATTTCTAGATTGAATCTCTCCTTGATCAGTTTCCAACCATTGTTCCTTGTCTGGTGTTTGAGTGCTTTGGAAAATAGCCTGACCCCTTCCTCCTCTCTGTGGCAGCCCCTCAAATATTGGAAGGCTGCTCTCCTGTCTCCCCTGGTCCTTCTCATCACTAGACTAGTTATTCCCAGTTCCTACAACCGTTCTTCATATGTTTTAGCCTCCAGTCCCCTCATCATCCTGGTTGTTCTTCTCTGCCCTCTTCCCAGAGTCTCAGCCTCTTTTTTTGTAATGTGGTGACCAAAACTGGATGCAGGACTCTAGGTGTGGCCATACTAAGGATACATAGAGTGGTATTAGTACCTCCCTCGATCTTGATTGTATCCCCCCGTTAATGCAATTGAGGATTGCGTTGGCTTTTTTGACGGCTTCCAGACACTCCTGGCTCCTATTTAGCTGTTTGTCCACTAAGACTCCAAGGTCCCCTCTCACAGCGATAGAGCAAAGGTGCCACATATAAAACTGTCCCTGTACATTTCGTCTTTCTTGCCTAAATGTAGAATCTTACTTTTTTTTCACCGCTTAAATTTTATTTTGTTAGATAGCGCCCAACCCCACACCCCCCGCCCCCGCGGTATTGGGGAGACCCAGAGTCCCCCGCGGAGGAAGGCCGAAGCCGCCTGCCTCCAGCGGACCCGAAAGAAACCCTCCCGGGCTGCGACTCCCAGCATCCCCTCTGCGCCAAACCTGCATCATCTTTTTCCCTCGGCGATTCAGGGAGCTGCCTCTTTGGCCGTTTAGTTTCCGGAAGTGGAGGCTTCGCGCCCTTTTTTTTTTCTCCAGAAGCCCCGCCTGTTCCTTTGGAAGGGACCGCCCCAAGGAGTCGACCTGCCAATCGCCGCCCTTCCCAGAGCGACCAATCGGCGTCTGCTTTCCTTCAGTCGCTCAGGTGGCGCCTGCGCGTTGCTGAGTCGCTTCCTCGTCTCGCGCAAAGGTGACGCAGGGTGGGGGTGGGGCGGCTTTGATCTTTGGGAAAGAATGTGCTTTCCTTGAATTACCTGATGATCTGTTATTGGTATACTCTTTTAATATTATTGCAAAACATGTTTTGTTTTGTTTTCTGTTGTTTTTTGTGCTGGTCTATGACCAAAATAAACTTAATATTCTATATTCTATTCATGTGGGTAAAGACACCCATTTGCAAACGCAAAAGTCTCCGATTCAGGTAATCAAATTATCTTCAGCTCCACACCAAACTTGGTGCCTGAATTTGTGGATTAAGACATTAGCCAACCATTAAAAGGAACAGGAAAAAGAGCTGGGTGTTCTCATTTTCTCCCTGCTTCCCTTTCCTAAGAAGGGGCCAAATGGGCATTTTCGCCCTTGCAATACAACTCTGATAAATTGGGTGCAACTAGAAGGAAGATTTCCCAGAGGCCAGGAGCCCTCCTGAAACCACCTTACCCCTTGGAAGGCACCTTCACTCTGATAACTGGCAGTAACTGGCAGTTTAGCCTGCACCAAGGAGGATGCATGAATTTGTTTTATTTATCAGGATCCTAGATTTTTTATTTTTTTTTACAAATCAGGCGGACAACATATCCAAGAAAATAAAGGAGAATGTTTGTCGCTCAGGGTTGAACTGAGGAGTCTTGGGGGCCCTTTGCAGCCCCACTCCCTTCCAGCAATGATGATGTCAGTCGGGGTAAGGAAACGTCTGCGAGAAGACAAGGGCAGAGAGCACCGAGGAACCCCGCCCCGCAAATATCCAGCACGCCCTCCGCTTCTCTCCCCCCCAACAACCACCCCGTGAGGTGGGCTGGACCGAAAGAGCGGCTGCCCCACACTTGAATTCAGGGTCTCTTCTTTCTCCCCTGGGCTTTAATCACTGGACCCAACTGGTTCCCCTTCGGAGGCTCCTACAAGGCCGCAGCCCCAGAAGAGCCCCGGCCTCCGCCTGCCTCAATACGGGGGGGGGGGGGTCGGACCCCAATGATCAAAGGGAGCCCGCCGCCCCACCTCCGCGGGGAACCATAGCAACCCTAGGCACCGCGCAGGCGCCCTGTGTCTCAAGGAAGGCCGATTGGTCGCTCTGGGAAGGGCGGCGATTGGCAGGAGGACCCCTTTGGGCGGTCCCTGCAGAGGAACAGTGGGCGCTTCCGCAGAAAAGCGCGTGGAGCCTCCACTTCCGGAAGCTAAACGGCCAACGAGGGAGCTTCCCAGAATCAAGCGACGGAGGAACCCGGATGATGCAGGTTTGGCACAAAGGATGCTGGGAATCGCAGTCCGGGAGGGTTACTTTCGGGTTCTCTTACGGCGGAGGCTTTGGCCTGGGCCTCCCTTACGGGAAGGGGACGCACCCGTGACCCGCTTCTCTTTCTCGCCGCAGGAGGACGGAGGAGGACGGCGGAGGAAGGAAGGAGGCGCCGCCCGAGAGGAGGAAAGCGCGCGCCGCAGAGCAGCTTTGCCCGGTCCCGGAGCGGCTTCCCCGAGAGACGGCGAGGAAAGGCCGCGAGGCTCCGGCGCTGCAGGAAGGATGAGTCGAATGGCACTCCGGGAAAGGCGGCTTCCCGAAGGGCGATGCGGGGAGAAGGAAACGGGCGGAGACCCCGAGACGGTCCTGGAGGGCGGAGGGTCCATCAGAAGACCCGGGAATCCCCAGAGGATCCAGGAGGATCCAGGGAAGAGATTTCAGTGCCCGGAATGCGAGAAATCCTTCAGAAATAGCGGACATTTTGAAAACCACCTAACCAGCCACTCATTGGAGAAACCATTTAAATGCTTTGAGTGTGGAAAGAGCTTCAGTCAGAAGAGCAGCCATGATAGCCATCTAAGAATCCACACAGGAGAAAAGCCTTATGAATGCGCGGAGTGTGGAAAGGGCTTCAGTCAAAGGAGCAACCTTTCTAGACATCAAAGGATCCATTTGATCAAGAAACCGAATAAATGCCTGGAGGGTACCAGAAGACCTGAGAATCCCCAGAGGATTCAGGAGGGACGAAAGAGATATCAGTGCCCGGAATGTGAAAAATCCTTCAAAACAAATTCACATCTTAAAAGGCATCTAAGCACCCACTCAGGACAGAAACCTCACAAATGCCTGGACTGTGGAAAGAGCTTCAGTGAGAGGGGATGCCTTTATACACATCAAAAAATCCATTTACAAGAAGTGTACGAATGCGGGGAATGTGAAAAATCCTTCAAAACAATTCAAATCCTTGAAAAACATCAAAGAATCCATAAGCCATGTGTATGCCTGGAGTGCGGAAAGAGCTTCAGTGAATGGAGAAATCTTCATAAGCATCAAAGAATCCACACAGGAGAAAAGCCTTATAAATGCTCTGAGTGTGGAAAGAGCTTTAATGTGCGTTCAAACCTCCGTCGACATCAAAGATTTCACACAGGAGAGAAACCCTATAAATGCTTGGAATGTGGAAAGTGTTTCAATGATAAAGGAACTCTGTATGGACATCAAATTATTCACACAGGAAAAAAATCACATAAATGTCTGGAGTGTGGAAAGAGCTTCAGTATGAGAGGATACCTTTACAGACACCAAAGAATCCACACAGGAGAAAAACCACATAAATGTCTGGA